AGAAAAGAGTAAAATTCACTATGGGCTGGCTTAGCAGAAAGTAATCTAACCTTGTACAAGATGTTACATAAGAGTGCCTTGAATCACCTGATCTAGAAAACCATCATTGGGGCAAACAAACTCACAGCTTTGCCTCAGGGATCCGAGTGCATCTGTAGGATTAAGAGGAAGATAAAGACTAAAGCAGCTATTTGGATTCCAAAAATTTAACAGCAACATGTAGTTATATTCGAAGACTGGCGATACTTAAAACAAGCAATGATTTGTTCACACCTTCTTGTGACAAATGTTCTGTTCTCATCAGATATGTTGTAATGATAGATGCACTGCAACAAACACATGCAAACAAGGGTGTAAACACTTTAAACTTGACAATTCAGAAAACTGAAAAAGCTATCAGAATGTAAGCCTGTTCCGAATAATTTCGACATTATTAGTAGACTCTTGTTATTCTAGAACTGAAAATCATAAACTGAGAAAGCAATATGTACCTTCTGGAAACACCAGCTAAGCAATGCACCAAAACAGAACCCTTTTTTCTACCGTTATCAATAAAATCCACACACGCATCCAAATAATCCAATAAATTCTCATCGTCCATGTCTCTTAGCGGAACCCCCATCCTCACCAGCTTCAAATCCTTGCCTGCACGAAAGCTTATCGACCCATCACCAACAGAAGCTGACCCACCAACAGACCCGCCAGCATAGACCTTGATTTCCTTTGTGGGAATTGCACAGAGAATATGTGTGATCTCTTTGCTGCCATTTCGGATAACCTCTGCCGCATCGCCGATGTTGCCGAGGAATAGATTCTCACGAACAAGATACGGCATGATGACTGAAAAATATTTGAATTTTTCCTTAACCCAAGATTATCAAAGCAAGAAAGTGTTAGCGAGATATCCTAGCCCTATTAGGATATTTCCTTCTTATTATATTAGGATTTTATTTATTTCCTTTTGTATAGATGTAATTAGGATTCCACTTATTTTCCTAGTTTAACCCTACTAGGGTTTGTAACCTTGTATTATAAATACCTATTTTTGGAGAATGAAATATATCTGAAAATATTCTATCATATTGTTTGACTTGGCATCAGAGCCGACTTTCTGGTGACCTGTGTGTGTTGTGCCCACCTATGTTCTACTGTGTGCTCTAATTTCTTTTAGAGTTCTTGTGCCTGTGCCTTTGCCGTGTTCCGCTGTGTGCTCTGTCGTATTCGTGCCTTTATTTCCTGTGCCTTTGTTGTGTTCCGTTGTGTGCTCTGTCGTGTTCGTGCCTCTACTGTGTGCCTCTACTGTCTTCGTGCATCTGCCTTTACTGTGTTTGTGCCTCTACTGTCTTCGTGCATCTGCCTCTAGTGTCTTCATACATCTGCCGGATTTGTGTATGTGCTGTGTTCTGTTGTATACTCTGCGTGATTTGTTGGGTTTCTGCTACAATCATGGGTGATAATTCCATTGTTGGTGCTGCTGCTGCTTCTGCAAATTTGCATGTTTCTGACTCTATTCCAGGTACTAGCTCCAATACTTGGATAATTGACACTGGTGCTTCTGATCATATGACTTATAATGCTAAATTTTTTGATGAGTTGTCTATTAACACCCGTAACCCATACATAACTAGTGCTAATGGCTTGCCCTCTC